TGTTGGGATAAGAAGTCATCCTGTTCCCACTTTAGAAAAGGGAAAAAGGAAATGGTTCATGTACCTTGTCAATGATATGCAATGGATTCTCTGTGGATTACAGAGTGGGCTCATTCTCAAATCCAGAGGACGCACAAGGCTAGTCCATGTGGTTAAATGCACTCAGGCTTGTAAGCACACAACAGAATTAGGACCATCTGAATGAGTAAATATCTCTTCCACTGTGTCCAAAATTTCCTAAGATGCTTATCCTGACCTTCTTCAATAGGCTGAGGCATGTCCCTTCCCAGATCTGGAAGCTGTTTCACACCTGGGCTAATTCCAGGGGGAAAAGTGACTAAAGCCATGGCTCCTAAAGGTAGAGTGTTTGGGTTTCATGCTGGGAAATAAATTCAGTGTAAAACATTGATGCGAGGTGAGTCATACCATATGGATATCTGTGATCGGTGTTCACGGTGTGTCCAGACAGCTCTGGGGATGACATTTGAGGGTGAGTCTTTGTATGTCTACAAATGAAACCCAGTTCCCCATCCCCCCATAGGTTAATATCAGAGTTGTCCTACCTGTAGCTCTAGGTTCCATGGCCTGAATTCTTGACAGGTCTGATTTTACTAGTTCTATTTCCCTTTTACTTTGATTTATTCATGTACTTATTTTGTTGTATTGTGAACTCTCTCTCTCTCTCTCTGTGCATGTGTGTGTGTGTCTGTGTGTGTGTGTGTGTACATATATATGCTTTCCACTCTTTAGAAAGGATTTGGCATGGCTCACTTAGCAAATATAGATATATTTATATCTATATTGAACCACAAGCCATCTGACTCCAAGCCTAGCATACAGGGACAGGGAACACTGACCTGAATCCTAGCAAGAGAGAGAGAGAGAGAGAGAGAGAGCACCCTTTCAAGGCCATGGTCTCTTCTGTCTGCCCACAGTGTTTTTGTCATTATAGGAGGACGGTGGCCATTGGAGCACCATAGCTGTGTGTGGAGTGCACCCACAACTATTCCAACGACCTCACAGGGATGTCTTTAACCCCTTATGGGAGCATGAGGTGAGGAGTGATGAAGGACTTGTTCAAAGTCATTTGGCCAGCAAGTGCCCAAGTTCAGATTTGAACCCTGAGCCATCTGACACTGAAGTCAGCAGCTTTTCATTACGTTACGCTGCTCCATGAAGCCCTCATGTGCCAGCCCCTGGCCCTGGTGCCATGGATAGGAGGGAAAGACATTCAGGTGGGGTTTCTATGGGCGGCACATGTTTTCTTCCCCTGGTATCTGGGAGCTTTTGTGGGGACCATCCTCTGTGGCCCTGCCTTGTAGCAGGCCACATGGCGAGCAGAGATTTTTCTGGGTCCTTTTTCACAGGTGCTATTATGTGCATTTATCTCTGCAGAGCAGCCCCCTCTAAGTCTCTGGTCTGGCATCCCACATAAATACCCACTGATGGGCTGTGGATTGATCAGACCTCAGTTGTGAGGGTGTGGAGAGACTCGCTAAGCTGCTCCTGACAACTGTGTGGCTTGTTCCCTCTCTAGGCACAGCCTGAAGTCACAGGCTCATAACACACCTCCCCACCCACCAGGAGAAGAGAGAGAGGCAATCATGTCAGAGCCGGAGATGTGAAAACTGCTTGATTGCCACCCCTTTCCCCCACTGCTGCCCCTTCATCTGGCCTCCATGGAAGTGACACAGGCTTTAGTGGAAGGCAAGGCTACTCCAGTCACTCACCTGCCTTATGGGACAAATACAGGGAATGGTGATTATTCCCAAAGGTGGCAAATGTCAGAAAAGTTTCCCTTGGGGAAGTAGGAGAGCATTTTATTTTAAGGAAATATTTTCTGGCTTTGGCTGTTGTTAAAATCTGGCTTGAACATACACCTGAGTTTCCTGTGAGTAAAAGGTGTGGTGGGAGCTGAGGCACCCTTGAGTTTGAAGCTGACAGGTGGGCAGACAGAAAGCAGCCCCATCCCTTCCTAGTGGTGGATGCTGCACACATTCTGGGCTTCAGGGTAGAACTGATGACTTGACCCAAACAATGTTGTTAACCCTTGCTTGCTCACGACTTGGCAAATCCCTATAGAGCACCCATTATGCCCCAGACCCTGGGAGAACTGCGGAAATGAAAGGGCCACTCTTTGCCTTCTTGACTGGTAAAGACCTTTGGGCATGAGAGATGTGTTCTTATTGGATATTCCCATAAATAAGAATTGGAGGAAAAACTGGGCCAAGGCCATGAAGCAGAAGTCAAGGCTTCAGTGAGCACTCAATGGGACCCCCTATTGGAATCAGGCAGCCAGAGACAGCTTCTCTGTGTAGGGTTTTTTTGAGCTGAGCTCTGAAGGATTGAGGTGGAATTAAGCGATGAAGGGAGAGAAGGAAGTGCAACTTGTGTGGAGGGAGGGGGAAAGGAGCCATTGTTACATTTGAGGAGTTAAACTAAATATGGGCTAATAAGGACTCCATACTTCCATATTTGAGTCCTTGTGGATAAACTGGAGTTCGAGACCAGCCTGGCCAACATGGTGAAATCCCATCTCTACTAAAAATACAAAAAATTAGCCAGGCATGGTGGTGCAGGCACCTATAGTCCCAGCTATTTAGGAGGCTGAGGTAAGTGAATCACCTGAACCTGGGAGGCAGAAGTTCTAGTGAGCCAAGGTCACTCCACTGCACTCCAGCCTAGGTGACAGAGCGAGACTCTCTCTCAAAAAAAAAAAAAAAAGATTGGAAAGCTAACTTAGAAGTATGCACCTGTAACAAAAACTGAGTCAGCCAATCCCAGCGGCCATACGTCAACCATTCATAGACTGCTAAGTGTTCAAACTGTTCAAATAAGGCAAACGCTGAGCTGCAACCAATCCAGCTGTTCTGTACCTCACTTCCAATTTCTGTACATCATTTCCCTTTTTGTGTCTATAAATCTTCCACCACGTGGCTGCAATGGAGTCTCTGTGAATCTGCTATGATTCTGGGGGCTGCCTGATTCACAAATTATTCATCGCTCAATCAAACTCCTTTACATTTAATTCAGCTGAAGCATTTCTTTTATCAGAGGGTTTGGGAGAAGGGTTAAGGTGAGGGCAAAGCCCCCCAGGGTGAGGCAGATAGAACATTCCAGAACTTGCCAAGATGGCAAAGGCTGGCTTTCCAGGCACCAATGTGAGGCGGCCTAACCTTAGCATTCTCCACTGTGGCTGTCTCTTCTACCCTTTCTCTACCATCCCTGCTCTCAAGAAATGATCACAGGCCCTTGGCTTAAATTTAGAAAAAAGGTTCCTACTGTGTTCCCACGAGGGATAGAGATGAGTAAGATGTGGTCTCTGTCCCGGGATATTCACAGCCTCCTTACCCTGCCTCTCAGAACCATCTGCAGGACCCCAGATGCAAGGCCCACGAGGAGAATTATGGGAATTCAGGGAAGACCCCGAGGGAGGTGAGGGGAGGCGGTTTTCTGCAGATAGGGACCTGGGGATAGACTAAGGGAGCTGCCTGGGACAAGCAGTCCCCTAACCCTTTCCAGAGAGCCTTGTCTTTCAAGCCTGATGTCTGGTGGGAGGACAAAAGGAATTTTAGGAAGCAGAGAAGAGAAGGCTTTTGGAAGGCCAGGGCCCTCCAGGTGGAAAAAGAGCCTGTGCTCTCTGTAAACAGAGAAGCCTCTTCCCCCTGGTTAGGTTTTTTTTCCTCCTGGGAGACCTGCCCTATGTTTTGAGGAAACCTGTCAGTCCAGGACTCAGCCTTATGGTGGACAAAACCAGAAAGGATCCTAAAGACTTTTTGAAGTAGATGGGACAAAAATACCCTTTGCTTCCTTATAATGTCTTTGAAATGCCTCTCAAATCTCCTTCTTTGGCCTTTAAGGCAGACAGATCTGCCAGTCACTCAGTCTGTCTATGCCAAAGTTGTCTTCTCTTATAACGAATGCACTAATCCCCACCCCATTGTATGTTGTGGGAGCAAAGATCCCACAAGATTGTACATGTGAATGTAGTCACAATCCCACCTGTGAGCATTTATTAAGAAGCAGATGATACAGAGACAGACAGGGACCCTCCTGACAGCCCTACGATTGAGTTCTCTTACCCTCCTGCTCTTCCAGATGAGGAAACCAAAGTTAGAGAGATTAATCCCTCACCAAGTCACGCAGCTCAAATCAGTGATTTTGCAGAGCTGCCCCCTTATGCTCTGTGCTATCCTAGGTTGTATTTTCAGGTGTAATTCTAGTGCTGTGAGCTTTTGCTCATGCATGATGTGTCCAGGAAATTGATTTCTCCAGTTACTGGGGGCATTCTAAGAAGAGTTTCTAACCACCCCCACCTCAGCTTCCTAGGTTCCATTTTACAGATGGGACAGACATCACTGAGGACAGGGGTGCACAGAGAAGTGGGCAAGTGAATTACTCCAGCTCAGAAGGAGTGCTGGAAGCTTGGAATGGTGCCAGCCAGGTTTCCACTCGGCTGCCCAGCCACACTCCTAGAGCCCAGCTGATAATTGTTCATTGTGTGCTTCATCTAGGCACAGAGGGCCTGGCAGCAGAATTGCATCACATGAAAGAGAGCTCGTCAAAGCAGCAGAAAGCTGGCCTCTGGGGTAATTAGCAGAGGGCCTATTCTTTCCTGCTTGGGACAGCTGGAAGGTTTCAGGCAAGGTCCAAACAGCATGAAGTGAAGCTCTGAGTTGTGAACCCTCTGGTGAACTCGGACAGGCGAGGCAGATGACTCAAATCATGCAGTTTATTTTTTCTTTTATACACTGCTGAGACATTTTTTTCTGCCAGCATTGTCCAGATGCTCTGATCCATTGATTGTCCTCTGCCTCCTGGAACACCATATACCCTCTCTCTAGGCTGCCATGTTCTGGGAGGAACCGAAAGAAAACATACTCACACACATACACACATCACCACCATAACTCAAAAAGAAAACCTGGAAGGTGACAGAACCTTGCTTGTGTATAAAGGTGCTCTGAATCACATCACCATGGCTCAGTTTCCTCCATTACCTGAGCTGAGGGGTCACAGATGGCAGCCCTTGCTTGCAGAGTGTTGGTTCATCTATCAAACTTAGGGGCAACAGGCCAGGCACCAGCCCTGTAAGAAAATAAAAAAGCGTGTCTGTTTGCTTGGCATAACCTGCCTTCTCCCTCACCCAGCTGGAGGGAGAGGCAAGATGATATTATGTCTTTAATCCTATTTGCAGTCCTCTTTCGCACAGCCAGGTATCCCACCGTCATGGCGTGGAAGTGCAGAAAGTGCTAAGAGACATTATAATGGAGTCTGGTACCTCTTTTTGATGGCCTGTGGGGCACTCAGGCTAACAGCCTGAGTGAGTTTGGCATACGAGCTGAACAGTGCTGAACTGGCCAGCGGGGTTCCAGAAAGGTACAGAGTCTGTGGCCAGGTGAGCTCTGATTCCAGGACCACTTAACACAGGCGGACGTGGATGATATTTCAGCCCGGCTTTAATAAATGACAGAGTTTTCACCTGCTTGGAAGTTTGGATGAGGATAACTCTTACCCATCTCTTAGTCATATTTAAAGAATGGGCATCTTAAATGATGAGGTTATTGGAGTGGCAGCATTTCTCTGAGCCAGTGAGAATGACATTCTCAGATGTTGAAGAAAACCCGTCAGACTGGGGAGTTGAGTGGGGGCCGTGATAAACAGGGTCTTTATTTCATGGAAATAATACCATGTGCTTTATATATGCTGATAACACAGACTTTAACATTGCCTTCATGTATAATTTCTGAGTGGGGAATTTTTGGTATCAGTTATTTTGTCAATAGTGGGAAATAAATAAGCAGACACTTCAAGATTTGGTAGAGAGAGTGGGCATTATTTTTCCCCAAAGGGGGGCTCATGTGACCTTCTGTTCCTCATCAGGAACAGATCCAGATGTGATTGCTTCTAAGACAATTAAAATTTTCCAGAACCAATGTAAATTCCCTTTTAGGAAGCTCTGCCCCTGGTTTCAGGCTCTCCATCCCACACCAGGCTCTGCACTCAGGTGCTGCTCCTACCTGATGGATTCAGCAGCCTCATGCTGAAAATGGAAGCCTTTAAAATTGCTTCACAAAGCACCTGAAGCCCTAGCTAATCCTCAGGTGCGAATATGCTATGCACCTGCTCAATGTTCCCTTGGTATTTGTGCTAACGCTATGGGAAATCATATAAAGTGCTTCTGGGAGTGGCATGGAATTGTGGAAAGAGATTTATGACTGGGGTTCGAGACTACTACTGACCAGCTGGCAGAATTTGGGCAGCTCAGCCCCAGTTTCCTTAACTTTAGGATGGAGATGGGGTGGAATATGTGACTGATGCTGGTGTGAAGTCATCTGAATTGAGGATGCCCCTTCCCTCGTATTGCCATAGCTTCTGCCTTCTCCATTTGTGGGCACTGTCTACAAGACTTTTTCTTTCTCTTCAGTTCAGGTTCCCAGAGGGCAAGATCTGAGCTGAACTCTTCTATGTCTCAGAACAAAGTGTCTGGCACACAGCAGGTGCCTAATACTTAGTTAATAAATAAATGAGTATCTATTAGCTCTACCTTGGAGAGTGGAGACATGCATGGATGAATGGGTACAGTCAGGACTGACTAAATAACTTATTGGCCAGTGCAACAGCAGAGCATAGAGAATATGCAGGGCCCTTCTGAGCACTGGGCTTTGTGCAGCTGCACAGGTCACCCCTTCATCAACCCCACCTCGAGTCCGCTGAACTCCGTGACTGAAGCATTTTCTAGGCTGCTGTCACCAAGTCCAACACACACTGAGTGGCTTGAACAACAGAAATAGATTGTCTCACAGTTACAAAGGCTGCAAGTTCCAGATGAGGGTATCAACAGGATTAGTTCCTTCTGAGGGCCTTGAGGAAGAATCTGCTGCAGGCCTCTCTTCTTGGCTTGTAGATGGATGGCCCTCATCTCCTATGTTTTCACACCATCTGCCCTTCTCTGCATAGCTATGTTCACATATCCTTTTCTTAGAAGGACACTGGGCGTGTTTGATTAGCACCCACCCTAGTTACTTTATTTTAATTCACTTACCTTTCAAAAGATCCTATCTCCAAATAAGGTCACACTACCATGGCACTGTGGGTTAGGACCTCCACATACGAATCTGAAGCAGGAAGTACAGTTCAGCTCATAACAGGCAGCATCAAACATAGGCTGCTACCATTATTATTTCAAGTTTGTCTTTGAACATAGAGCTATGGGAAACATCTAGTTTTTTCTGATTATAGGAATACAATAAAGAAGTAAAGCTCACCATTCAACCCACCCCTCTGCAGTTAACATTTAGATGCCTTTTGTTCTTTGTCTTTCTTCAACATATGTGTGCCTAGATGGTACTATCTGAGATTGTGCCATTTATGATTTACTTTTATTTTTCCAGTTTAGTCATGTATCCCTCTCTCCCATCTCACTGTATATTTTGAATCTCTCTTTTAAAGAAGAGTTCTAACAGAAGCCATATTATAATCCAAACGCATTCATGGTTCTCAGGTGAAGTCACTTCCCAGTAACTTCTCTGCCTGGGTGGTCACACAGATGTGGCTACCTCTGGAGCTCACCTTTGGGCACTCCTCTAGACCATATGGCCATGAGCCTACCGAGTCCTTGCCATCCAAGGCATTTCTTGAGACTCAGTTGGGTCAGCCATATGAATCAGAAGGGAAAGCTTGAGGAATATGATTCTGTCATTGAGGAGGAGTTTTCATGTGTCCACAGTAGCTGAAAGCTGATTACTATGGATGCAATGGCTCAGCACTCATTTCTTAATATAGTTCCCTCAAGAAATAGCCAGTAAGTCCACCAATTATTTTATCTCTTTTAGGGATACTTTCTTAATTGTGGAAGAATCTAAAAATTTAATTGGCAGACTTGATATGTCCTGTATCTTGTTTAGAAAGTTAGGCCAGGAGAAAGAATGCAATTAAACTGTCAAAATGTAATTGTTTATCATATTTAATTTAAAGTGCTCATTCCCATTTACTTTTTATGGTTTTAGAGTTATAAGCAAAGAAAGCTGCCAGGATAACTGGTAGATACAAAATGAAGACTGGAGGCTCTGAGTGCTGCTAGCAGCTGAGAAGCTGCTACTCTCAAATTACTTTGCTTTAATAGAAGGATATGATGCTCAATTTCCTAGCTACCTGAAGCACAGAATTAGCCAGTTTTGGGCACAATGGGCTATTTTGATTTAAGAAATACACCCTCAACTGGATAGTAACTCCAAATCCCCCCAGAACAAGTGTGTGTGTGCATGTGTGCACACGTGTGTGTGTGTGTGTGTGGGTGGGTGGGAGGGGGGTTTCTGCTGTTTGCGTTGCTCTCTGCCTCTTTATAATTTAAGGATCGATCTAAACAGAATGAACACTCTCAGGCAATTCTTTCTAAGTGAAAAGTCACCCATCCACACTGAATGGTTATCTAAGTGCCATTTATTCTGGAAGTGAGTACTAAACATGGATTTGGTACATTGGGTAAGGTTCCCTGGAGCTGGAGACAGATGCAACACGATTTTGCTCCTCAGGTAGCTCAGACACAAGTCAGGGAAACAAGCAAACAGATTGTTTTGACTGCAGGTCATAATCCCTGAGACAGAGGTAGGAAGTAATAGCTGTGTAATCACTAAAGAAGGGAAAACACTAGAACAGCTACACAGATTTGCTAGGATGAGGTGGGAACCTGTAATTCAATTCAGTAAATCTTTGACTGCCTATCATGCTCAGAGCACACAGTCCAGGCCTAGGATCAGCACAGAGCTTCTGCAATCAGAAGATTCAGCAAATGAAGGAGGTAAAATGAGGAAAAGATGGCTACTATACCCACAAAGCACATCAAGATGAGTAAAACATGGCCGTGGTGCCTGACCTAAGAGGAGGTAGGGAGTGAAGCTTAGTGAGTGGGAAGGAGGGCTAGATTCATTGATCAAGTCATTTCTTTTTTCATAATTTTTTCCTTTTTATTTATGAAAATAGTGCATCCTAGAAGGGCACAATGTCACCTACGTGGTATTATTTCCCAAAATGCATAATCTGTGTCTAATCATGAGGAAACATCAAACAAACCCAAATGAAGGACATTCTGCAAAATAACTGGCATATAATTTTCAAAACTGTCAAGATCAAGAAATGCAAAAAATGTCAAGTTACTGTTTCAAGTGAATGTGAACTATGAATGTTGAATTTCTTTATTTGGATAAGTATATAATTTACATGTTTAGGGGTAAAGAGGTGCAATGTCTCCAATTACTCTAAATGGGAGAGGAAGGAGAAAATAACAGAGCACATGGGGTCTAATGTACTGAACTGGTGAATCTGGGTACAGGGCTATGGGAGTTTCTTGTACTATCTTAGCACCCTCTCTGCAAGTTTAAAATTACATTAAAGTACAAAGCTAAAAAATACAGTCCCATTTCAGTCATTTTGGAAAATTTAGAAAAGCACATGGCAGCTGATATGGTTTGGCTGTGTCCCCACCCAAATCTCATCTTGAGCCGTATAATCCCCATGTTGTGGGAGGGACCCAGTGGGAGGTAATTGAATCATGGGGGCGGATCTTTCTTGTGCTGTTCTCATGCTAGTAAGTCTCATGAGAGCTGATGATTTTATAAAGGGGAGTTCCCCCGCACAAGCTCTCTTGCCTGCCACCATGTAAAACATGACTTTGCTTCTCATTCGCCTTCTGCCATTATTGTGAGGCCTCCTCAGCCATGTGGAACTGTGAGTCCCTTAAACCTCTTTTTCTTTATAAATTATCCAGTCTCAGGTATGTCTTTATTAGCAGTATGAAAACAGACTAATATAGCAGCCAAAATAAAGGAAAATCTCATCCTTCAGAAACAACCATGCTGAACAATTGGTTTCCTCCCAGTCTTCTGTCTGTGTATCCTTACATAGCTACACTGTACTGCACAACCTACTCACTGTGAGTCACATGACATGTTTTGAGCAATTCCGTGGTTATGGACACATCTCATCAAAGAGGTCTGACTTGCTTCCTAACATGTTTGGTTTGGCAGTAGGGATTATAATCCCAATGTGTGGGCATTTGACACAGAGTTTTGGTGACAGCTGCCAACTGC